AAGCAGTAGCTTCATGGTTATATCACTGAATTGTATTTTTAAATGGAGAATATTATGGTGTGTGAATTATATATCAACTTAAAAAAAGAAAGCACGGGGATCTGCAGGAAAAGGGCCTATGATGGACAGAATGCTTACATCATCACAGTTCCATTGACTACTTCTCAACCCAATGACACATAGGTCACTTTGTAGCCGAGGCTGTTTTTAACTCTTCCTCCTGCCTCAGGCTTCTGAATTTTGAGATTACAAGTTTGTTTTCAGCATTTTTTTTTGTTGCTAAAAACATTTAGTTTGTTTTTGTTTGCTTGCTAGTTGAAATATTGCTGCAATGGATAAGGTTGAACTTGAAAACAAACAAAAAGAAAAAAAAAAGAGGAAGGATGGAAAGAAGAGAGAGAGGAAGGAAGGAAGGAAGGAAGGAAGGAGAAAAAAAAGTGGTGAGGTGGTCTTCTGCATTTAGAAGGCAGAAGTTGTTAGGTCTTTGTGAATCGGAGGCCGTCCTGATGTACATACTAGTTTCAAACCAGTCAGAGTTATGTGGTAAAACCTTGTCTGAAAAAACAGATCATTTCAGGCAGCTCACACAGAGCAGGGCTGCCCTGGGCTGCAGAGTGGAGCTCTGTTGACAGAAAGCCAAGTGAGTGTGTGAGCTCTTCGTCTTCTGAGCACTAGCCCAGCGTTAGGTAAAGGGGCCTTGAGACCTTTTTCCATCACTCAGTATGATCTCCTCAAAGTTAAGAATATTTTGCCCGGAGCCGGGCGGTGGTGGCGCACGCCTTTAATCCCAGCACTCGGGAGGCAGAGGCAGGCGGATCTCTGTGAGTTCGAGACCAGCCTGGTCTACAGAGCTAGTTCCAGGACAGGCTCCAAAACCACAGAGAAACCCTGTCTCGAAAAATCCAAAAAAAAAAAAAAAAAAAAAAGAATATTTTGCCCGAATTAACCTGCAGAGATAACTCCAAGTTGGGAGTTATGGCCTAGATGGAGGCTCAGCAAATGGAGGATCAACTGTTTGCTTTTGTATGAGCCAAGAATGCTTTTTATGGGTGAACTCCAAACTAAGTAAAAATCTTACCCAAACACTGTAGTCTGGGGTTGAGGCTCTATTTCAGTGGTACATCACTTGTCCAGTATGCGCATGGACCTGGGTTCCACACCTTACCTCCCCGAAGGAGAAGAATATACTTAATAGACTTAATTATTCTTTTTTTTTCTAGTTTTTCGAGACAGGGTTTTTCTGTAGCTTTGGAGCCTGTCCTGGCACTAGCTCTTGTAGACCAGGCTGGCCTCAAACTCACAGAGATCCGCCTGCCTCTGCCTCCCGAGTGCTGGGATTAAAGGCGTGTGCCACCACTGCCCGGTGACTTAATTATTCTTATTGTATTTTGAATTCCCTTAAAAAACAAAACCAAAAAGCACAGAAATTTGTTTTTGCATAAAATATAAAACATTTTACTTTTTGACCTTTTCCAGAAAAAGTTTGTTTTATATAAACTCCAGAGAAATTAGAAATAATATTGAAAAGTTTGTATGAAGATGGACTAGCCACAAGCTACAGTCATTGCTCAAAAAAATAACATAGCCAGTGTATGAGGGGAATTTCAATCAAATTAACCAGAACATACAACATTCTTGATAGATTCTGTAGATTTGAGTTTAGAAAAGTTAGCCGGGCGGTGGTGGCGCACGCCTTTAATCCCAGCACTTGGGAGGCAGAGGCAGGTGGATCTCTGTGAGTTCCAGACCAGCCTGGTCTACAGAGCTAGTTCCAGGACAGGCTCCAAAGCCACAGAGAAACCCTGTCTCGAAAATCCAAAAAGAAAAAAAAAAAAAAGAGAAGTTAATGAGTTTGGGCGCAGTTTCTTGTTTGTAATTCCTGGTATAAGAAAGGAAAATAGAAGAGAAGAGACGTGAAGGGAAAATGCTCAGGTCATTTTTGAATTAATGATGATGATAAAAATGCTTATATGAAAAAGAAAAAAAATGCTCATATGTTGCTGGGCTGAGTAAATATTTTGTGTGCATGACCGAATTCGGTCCTCATTAGAGTCAGGAAAGGCTGAAGTCAGGGTTGATAGCAACTCCCGTCGGCCAGCAGGAGAATGCAGTACTTTTTCTAGAAAAGAAAAGCATGAGATTAGAAAGTCAAGGGGTCAAGGGTCTTGACTGTTATGTCCGAGAAGAGTTTAGATTCTTTTTCTTTTTGCTGGGTCATTATTTAGACTGAGGGGCCCCGAAGGATTCTCAGAAGGGATGTCAAATGGTCAGCTGTGCTTTGAATTGATAACAAAGATGGGTTTAGGGGGCCACCTTTTTTTTTTTTTTTTTTTTGAGACAAGGTTTCCCTCTCTATGTTGCCCTGGCTGTCCTGGAACTCGTTCTATTGACCAAGTTGACCTTGAAGTCAGATCTGGCAGCCTCTGCCACCTAAATGCTGGCTAGGATTAAAGGCATTGGCCACCAGCACCTGGCAGGAGGCAATTCTTAAGTCATGAGGTTGGAGAGGGGAGAACAAGTGAGACTCTGTGTCTCTGCTGTCATAAAACACCTTCCTCAGTGACTGCAGGTGTCTGGACACAGAGTCAAAGACAACACCAGGTTTTTTTTTTTTTGTTTTTTTTTGTTTTTGGTGGCAAAATGAGAACCCAGATAGAAATCATATTCGATGAGTCTGATAGTAGAGATGGGCCACCGTCCTCTGAACACAGGGGACTGACCGGTTTTATATACAATGTCATGCTGTTTTCGTGTAGCCTACAGAAACCTCTGTAGACTATTTGTAATTCCAATATAATGCAAATGCCGTGTAAATAACGTGTAGTGTGTAGGGGGTGACGAAGGGAAAAGTCAACCCTTTATCATCCTGATGCTATCCAGTTGGGAATCACTCCACTGCTTGGGAATTTTGATGCTGTAGATGCAGACTCTGTGGGTCCAAACAGTATATTTATAGTTTCTGGAGGACATCTGGGAAGTTGTCTGGTGACACGTCAGAATTGTGTGTCTAGAACTTGAGAAATGACTGGCCTGGAAAGAGAGGCAAGGGAAGAAGAGAACCGTGAGGAGGAGGGGGGGGGGAGACTGGGGAGGAAAGAGCATCTCTGGAGCCCCAAGTCTGAGCAATCCTCCCATCACTAACTTGGATGGAGGGCAAGTATGGTACAGTGGGAAAGGCTGATTGGCTTTATCACGTCAAAGCGTTTCCTGGAGGGGGTAGTCAATGGAATGTTACTGAGCCAGGGAAGAAGAAAAGGACTGTAAACAGGGGAAAGGATTTGGTACTTAGAAGGTCACAGATGACGTCGGAGAAAGCAGAGAAAGCGGGAGACTGCTGGTGCTTTAAAGAGCTTGCTGAGTGTTGAGGGTGGGGGAGGAGGAGAGGCCGGAAGATTGGGAGCTGGGGACCCTGGAAGTGTGGCGGTGTTTTAGGATACAGGTAAAAGTGTAAATGGAGAGGGAGGGAGAGGGAGATAATGAAAAATGGGGAAAAAAAAACATTAATGAAATAAAAACCAGAAAAGGGATAAACTGAAAGGATCAGGGGATCTTGATTTCAGCCCCTCTATTTCAGAAGGTTCCACGCTGTTTGCTGAGCAGAGGACACAATGTTATTTTTTAAAAAGTGTCTGGAAACTCTGGCATAGAAGGAGTTGTTTGTGAGATAGTACTTCTGTGTTTCTCTGATGTTGGTCACAGAATCATCTCTTCCTTTCTCCATCTTCGGTGAAGATGAAGCACTCACCTGGTCTCCCAGGGTGTATTGGATTTTACAGTTCAACTTTTGCTTTTCAGTTTTTTGAGCCAGGGGTCTCACTAAGTAGCCCAGGCGGACTTCAAATTCATATTCTTCCTACCTAAACCTGCAAAATGATGGGATTATAGGTGTGCACCACCAAGCCTCACTGGCTTTATTTTAGTGTGAGATGATCTAGAGAATTACATATCGATTCTCAAAGATTCAGCTTGGGTGCAGTCGCCTACTTTATAAAATGCCAGTCCTTGCTGGTTATGGTATGCCCCTATTGATGAGTGTGCTGCCAGTCCTCAAGACTGTCAAACATGAATAATTCAGTAATAAAGTCTGTTTTTGTCAGGTGAGGTCAGACGCGGTCCACCATTCTTTGCGGCTCTCAGGAGTTGCTTGGAGATGTGAGGAACTACTCGGTTAGTAAAACAACCAAGACAGTGGTTTCAAGATGGAAGATGGAAGAAAGAGCTAATTATTAGGGTTATTTATTTATTTATTTTTATTTTCTATGGTGGAGGTAAGGACGTGGTTTCTGCAGTGCCTCACAAGTTAGTATCTTAAACCACCGCCCGCAGCATCACCTGGAAACTTACTGGAGATGCAAATTCTGAAGCCACACTTGAAATCCCCTGTTTCATCACCTCTGGGGGTGGTACCCAGCTGGTGAGTCTTAATGGCCCTCTGGGCAAGACTGCCCGGTCTAAGCGTTATGAGTTTATTGACACATGGCCTCCCGACTCAACAGCTTAAGCGCCCATCCAGCAGGCATCCCCTGGGGGCATTTGAGAAATACAGAATCGCAGGTTGCCTCCGCCCCCCAAACCCGCTCGATCAGAGCACACGCCCGGGAGAAATCAAGCAGGGTGTCTGCTCCCGCGTCTGCACGAACAAGGAGGATCTTTTCCCCAGTGAGTTCCGAACCCCAATTGGATAAGCCGTGAAATTGCTTTAAAGCGCGTTATTCACTGGGCCGGGTGCACTGCCACCCGCTCCCTGTCACCCCGCGGCTGCTGCAGGGCTCGGGGTCCTGCAGGGTTAAAAGGAGGCTCCGGAGGAGAGGCCGGGTGGGCGTCGAGCCTCCCAGGCCGGCCCCAAGCAGGTGTGTGGGGAAGGGTCTGCGGCTAAGCGCCCCGGAGCGCGCGGGCGGAGCCGGGGGTCGGGCGGGGAGGGGCCGGCGCGCGGGGCGGGCGGCTGCGCCGCTCCCGCCCCCGGCCCGCCCCTCCGCGGCGCCATTTTGCAGGCGGCTGCCGCGGGGACCCGAGGCGGCGGCAGGCACTGCGGCGCGAGCGGTGCGATCGGCGGGACGCGAGCTCCGCGAGCTGCAGGCAGGTGAGAGCGGGGCCGCCGCGCCCCACGCCCCACGCCGGGCCAGCGGCCGCACCTGCCGGCGGCCTCGGCTGCCCGCCGCGCCCACGAGGCCGGCCCGCGCGGCCCCCGCGCGCTGTCACCCACCCGCGGCGCGGCCTGCGCCCCCACGCCGGCTCGCGCGGCCCGGTGGCCCCGGCTGCCGCGTCAGGCCGTGCGTCCCGGGCGCTAACTGCTGCCCAGCCGGGTGTCCCCGGGACGGCCGCCGTGGACGCGGGGCGCTGCGGGGCTCGCTGTGCGCCCCTCCCCAGGTGGTGCGCCCCGCATCCCGGAGCCCGGGGATTCAGGGTCAGTCCGAGGGGCGGGGGATGGTGGTGCGCTTTCCAGGCTGGCTTCCTTCCCTCTTTGCGGAGGCGACACCGAGTAATTTTAGATGCTGCTGCTCCGACCTTGCGACCTTTCCCGCTGGCCTGCCCCCGGGGGTCCCGGGTCGCCCTGTTGCCGCCACTCTTGACAGAGAAATTGACATTGGAGCGTGATAATTCGAAGGTGAAGAATTGTCTCCATCGTTTGGCCGGAGATGTCCCATTAGCTGGGTAGCCTGTAGGAACTCGGCCTTCTTTCAGGGTGAGGGGCTTTAATCTGGGCTGGTGGGAAACTCCTGATTGTCAGCGCAAAGGGTAAGCGAGGGCAAGTGCGGTGGGGGGGGGGAAGAAAGTTAGCTTTGGGGGGCTTCCTGGGGATGGGGCATTTGCAGTGGCTGTTAGTCTAGTTTTTGCGGCGCTGGGAAACGGGACGGTGAGGATGCTATCCCTTCTGACGTTTGGGTCTTCTGAACGCAGGCGGCCAGAGGATCTGGGATCTGAGTCCTGAGACAGCCTGATTTGAGCTGTCATTAACCGGCCTTGTGACTTCCCCCAGGCAGTTTCCTCTTTACTCTAGTGAGCTAGACCCAAGGTGACTAAAACCTTTTTGTGTTTTGTGTGTGAGCGCTGTTGATTGGGCTCAGGCCTCACATGTTCCGAACGTGTTATCCGCATCTGCCTTTCATCTTAGTACGGGACTTTGCTGGCCTGTTCCTTTAAGGCGTTTGACTCAGGTGAAGTTTACGAGAGGCCTTTTCCTCTTAGAAGTTCAGGATTCTGTGCTGGGTTATACTTGACCTTATCAGGGTCATTATGGAATGTAGTACTACACCAAAAGTTATAGATTTGGGCGCTTAAGGCCGTGCACCGTGTCAGTTTGCTCAGGACGCATCTGGTAGTTCAAAGGAGACACTCAGTATTCCCAGCCAGACATTGAGGCAGGAGGTAACTAGCTGCTTTCTAGACAATGTCCTTTGCCTACTGTTAACTGATTCTTTTCTCTGTATACCTGGGCATTTCCACCCCAGATGTCTTTTTTTTTTTTTTTTTCGAGACAGGGTTTTTCAGTAGTTCTGGAGCCTGTCCTGGAAATAGCTCTTGTAGATCAGGTTGGCCTTGAACTCATAGAGATCCACCTGCCCCTACCACCCGGGAAGGTAGGCATGTAGGTGTGTCGTCATCATGGCGTCCGCCCCCCCCCCCCCCCAGGCAGAGGCAGGTGTGTCTCTTATTTCAAGGCCAGCCTGTCCACAGAGCGACTTCAGGACAGCCAGGGCTCACAGAGGAAACCCTACCTCAAAACTAACCAACCAGCCGGGCTGTGGTGGTGCACGCCTTTAATCCCAGCACTCGGGAGGCAGAGGCAGGCTGATCTTTGTGAGTTCGAGGCCAGCCTGGTCTACAAGAGCTAGTTCCAGGACAGGAACCAAAAAGCTTCGGAGAAACCCTGTCTTGAAAAAAAAAAAACAACAAAAAAAAACCCAACCAAACAAATAAATAAGAAAGAAAGAAAGTAGGTGTTTGAGGGGCTTTCTATAGTGGCAGGATTTTTGTTTCTTTTTTCCTGGCTGACCTGAACTTGCTCCAGGCTGGCCTCAGACTTACCGTGAGCTCCTAAGCCCTGGATTAAAGTTGTGCCTCTTTCCCCCTTGTTCCAGATAGCTGCCTGGTATTTAGTTTTCTGAGTGGCACATTACCCTGAGATTAAACCTCTACTAAAAAACGATTAAGCTGGGTGTGGTGATGTAAATGTATAATTTTAGCCACTCAGTCCAGCTGGTGGAGGTGGGAAGCTCACAAGTTCCAAGCCAGCAAGGGATGAAGGGCAAGACTTAGCCTTGTAAGACAACACAAAGTATTTATTTATTTATTTTGAGACAAGGTCTGGCTGTGTACCCTTGGCTGCCTTGAAGCCATAGAGAGCTGCCATATTCTAGGCTTGGGACTAAAGGTAGTTACCACTATGTCCAGCAAGAAAGTTAAAAAAAAAAATCTTAATGGAAGTACTTGCCTAGAGGACTGGAGAGATGGTTCAGCAGTTAAGAGCACTGGCTGCTTTTTTACAGGGTCTGGGCTTAATTCCCAGCACCCACATGATGTCTCACCATCACCTTTTAACGCCAGTCCCAGGGGATGTAATGCCCTCCTTTGGCCTGTCTTGTGAGCACTGCATACACGTGGACAGACACACACTCCAGGAAACCACAGACACACAGTGAAAAGAGTCCTTGACCCAACGTGGCTGTCCAAATGTGAACTGAAGGATGAGCCGGTGGACGTGCCAAAGTGGATGGGGGAAAGCCCATGCTACCTCAACCCTGTGTAAAGAACTCTAGGCAACCCGAGCAAAGCTGGGAGCAGGAGAGTTGCCCTAGGCAAGAGCATACCAACTGGTTGTCTGTAGGAGGAGGCCGCCCGTTAGTCCGGCCACCCAGGACTAAAATAACCACACAGAAACTGTATTATTTAAAACACTGCTTGGCCCATTAGCTCTAACTTCTTATTGGCTAACTCTTACATCTTAATTTAACCCATTTCTAGTAATCTGTCTATCGCCATGACGCTGTGGCTTACCAGCAAGATTCCAACCGGCACCTGTCTCTGGCAGGGCTACGTGGCTTCTCCCTGACTCTGCCTCCTCTCCCAGCATTTAGTTTTCCCCAACTACCTAAGTTCTGCCCTATCACGGGCTCAAGACAGTTTCTTTATTAACCAATGATAGTCACAGCATACAGAGGGGAATCCCACATCACCTCCCCTTTTCTGTTTAAATAAAAAGGAAGATTTTTAACTTTAGCATAGTAAAATTTCATACAACAAAACAGTTATCAACCAAGAATTATGGTTACAATATTTATATCTACTTATCTCTTTATCTTTTATCATAACTAAGGAAAACTATAATTATAACTATAAAGTCTTCTGCTCCATCAAAGACTTAAGAAGGATATGATATCACCTAAGTAACGGGAAGTACATTGTAAGTAACTTCTAAAACTCTAGAAATGACAGAGACAACTTGCTTCCTGGACAGTCACCCAAAGTTCTTCTGTACCGTTGGGCCATCCATCTTCAGCCTACAGGCCCATAGTATCCAGCAGACTTTTCCATGAAGCAGGAAATTTCAAAGACAGTCCCGCCTATATTGGCAGGTTGTCAGTCACTTTCTTTTGTGTGCTGCAGAATGTCTGGCAGACTCATTGATGAAGCAGGAACCCCAAAGGACGGTCTCACCTTTAGTTAAGTTCAGCAGTCATTTCTCTGCGGGTCCTGCATGTCCAGTTCATCAAGCAGTCCAGGCAAGAGCAGTTTTTTTTGCCCAAATGGCTAAACAACTCCATAAGGAGCCTCTTTGATGCCCATCTTCCTCTTGAAGTAGATTGGTGCTGCCAGGACCAGATGTGTCTCATTGTCATGAAAAGTCCTAAGTTATTAAAACATTTTAAAGCTGGGCGGTGGTGGCGCACGCCTTTAATCCCAGCACTTGGGAGGCAGAGGCAGGCGGATCTCTGTGAGTTGCTCTGTGAGACCAGCCTGGTCTACAAGAGCTAGTTCCAGGACAGGTTCCAAAACCTGTCTCGAAAAACCCTGTCTCGGGGGCTGGAGAGATGGCTCAGTGGTTAAGAGCATTGCCTGCTGTTCCAAAGGTTCTGAGTTCAATTCCCAGCAACCACATGGTGGCTCACAACCATCTGTAATGAGGTCTGGTGCCCTCTTCTGGCCTGCAGACATACACAAGACAGAATATTGTATATATAATAAATAAATAAATAAATAAATAAATATTTTTAAAAAAAAAAAAATAAGAAAAACCCTGTCTCGAAAAACCAAAAAAACCATAAATAAATAAAAAATAAAACATTTTAAATGCCATATTCTATAGTCTTTGAAAGATTTGAAGAATCCCTATCCATCTGAAATACATTTCTGTACATCTAGAAAATCTAACTAACATGACTACAAACTTGACTATTATAGATGATTATGTAAAACCTAAATTTTTTAATTATACATTCCATTTTTAAATGAGCTGCACAAACACAGTGCCTTAATCAGGAGCAGAAATATATAACAAAATTGACCTTAAGTTTGTATCGATAAACCAAGATCCATACCAATGAAAATCTCCATAGCATATCCCCCTTTAAATGTAAAGGAATATTTATAAACAATATTTGGGAATATGGGCATAGTTCTCTGGGCTACTTCCTGCTGATTAGGGGTGCTGTTAATCAGGTCTTTCATGGTGTATCCTATGTGCTAGGTTTATCTCAGTCAGCAGTTGGGTGAAGTAATTTGGGGGGTGTTCATAGCAACCTTTTAGGGGATCTTGGTCCATCAAACCACATTAGTCTGGGAAGATTCCACAGGTTTTCATCCTCTATGGAAACAAAAGAAGAACCTCTTTTCCAAAGCAACATATCCTTAGACTCAAATTCTGAAATCAAGATACCTTTAAAATACATATGTTGGGCTGGGCGGTGGTGGCGCATGCCTTTAATCCCAGCACTCAGGAGGCAGAGGCAGGCGGATCTCTGTGAGTTCGAGACCAGCCTGGTCTACAAGAGCTAGTTCCAGGACAGGAACCAAAAGCTACGGAGAAACCCTGTCTCGAAAAAAAAAAAAAATACATATGTTTGTTACTTAGCTCCTTCACAG